TTTTTTTAAAGGAATTATTGTTCTGGCAGAATTCGATTGGCATTAAATGCCTCTTATGCTAAAGCAGCGAATTCTTTACAGCTCTGTATTGTTGAAGGCTTTCATGACCGGAATCACTGGGTTGTTGTAGGTTTTTTCGGGCTATATGGCCATGTTCTAGACTAGAGGCATTCTCTCCTGATGTTTCACCTGCATCTATGGCAAGCATCCTCAGAGGTAGTGAGGTCTGCTGGAACTCGGAAAAGGGGTTTATATATCTGTGGAAAGACCAGGGTCTTTACAGCTCTGTTGAACTGTGCATCAGTATGCATAGTGAAATCGGTTTCATATACTGTAATTTACAGCTATTTAAAAAATGTGTAGTTACATTTAGTTCTATGATACAAATTGTATTCCTCTCAAGCTATTGCTAGGCTGGCTTGTCTAGAGGTCTTGCCAACCTATGCAGTGAAGAGGAATGCTGGGGGTTGCAGTCTAATAACATCTGGAAAGTCACACAATCCCTACACAGTGGATTTAGTTAGATTTAGGGCATGTTTTTCTATTAAGAATATTTGACATACTTGTATTTTAGGAGCCATGGTAGCACAATGGGTTAAACCCTTGTGCCGACTAAACTGCTGACCTGAAGGTCAGTGATTCGAATCCGAGATGGGGTGAGCTCCTGTCTGTCAGCTCCAGCTTCCTATGTGGGGACATGAGAGAGGCCTCTCACAGGATGGTAAAACATCCAAGTGTCTCCTGGGCAACGTCCTTGCAGACGGCCAATTCTCTCACACTAGAAGTGACTTGCAGTTTCTCAAGTCACTTATTATTATTATTAGTATTATTATTAACTGTATTTGTACCCCGCTAGCATCTCCCGAAGGACTCGATGCGGCTTACACAGGCCAAGGCCTCATTAAAACAACAGCATAACAAAAACACATAACTTAAAGCAAATCAAACAATAAAACAATAGCAGTAAGCAATAAAAACAATACACCATAACACAATAAAACTAGGGCAGGGCCAAATGTAATGGGTACAGATTAAAAAGTGCTGGGTGTGACAGGTGGATGTAGGATTTTAGGGTAAGTGCAATGTGCAGACCATCTTAAAACTCTGATAAAGTGCTTCTGGGACATATTCTGGAGTTCCTATTCTGGAAAGGCATATCGGAATAGCCAGGTCTTCAAGCTCTTCCTAAAGACTGCCAACGTAGGGGCTTGTCTGATGTCTTTGGGGAGGGTGTTCCAAAGGCGGGGGGCTACCACAGAAAAGGCCCTGTCCCTTGTCCCCACCAAACGCGCTTGTGACGCAGGTGGAATCGCGAGCAGGGCCTCTCCGGATTTTTTTTTTTGTGTCAGGAGTGACTTGAGAAACTGCAAGTCGCTTCTGGTGTGAGAGAATTGGCCGTCTGCAAGGACGCTGCCCAAGGGACGCCCGGATGATTTGATGTTTTTATCATCCTTGTGGGAGGCTTCTCTTATGTCCCCACATGAAGAGCTGGAGCTGATAGAGGGAGCTCATCCGCATCTCCCCGGATTCGAACCTGCGACCTGTCGGTCTTCAGTCCTGCCGGCACAGGGGTTTAACCCACTGCGCCACCGGGGTCTCCGCCTCTCCAGATGAGCGAAGAGAACGCGTGGGTTCATAAACGGAGATGCGGTCACGCAGGTAGGCAGGTCCCAAACGGTTTAGGGCTTTGTAGGWGAGCACCYGCACCTTGAATTGGGCCYGGAAAATGAACGGCTGCCAATGGAGCTCCTTAAACAGGAGGGTTGACCTCTCTCTGTAGGGAGCACCAGTTAACATCCTGGCCGCCGCTCGTTGGACCATCTGAAATTTCCGAGCTGTTTTCAAGGGCAGCCCCACGTAGAGTGCATTACAGTAATCCAATCTAGAGGTGACCAAGGCATGGACCACCCCGGCCAGATCAGCCTTTGCAAGGTACGGTCGCAGTTGGCACACGAGTCTCAGTTGTGCAAAAGCCCTCCCAGACACCGCCGATGCCTGAGCCTCAAGCGTAAGCGATGAATCCAAGAGGACTGCCAAACTGCGGACCTGTGACTTCAGGGGGAGTGTAACCCTGTCCAGCACAGGTTGCCACCCTATACCCTGATCTGGTTTACGATCGACCAGGAGGACCACTTCTGACTTTCTTTTCAGCTGGTTGGCACAGGATGGACAGCTAGAAAAACAGAAGGCATCTATCATTGCATATTCATCTTTCTGAAAAGGTAGTGCAAAAGCCATCTTGCACCTTGGCCCAAATCTCCTGCCCATCCCTCATCACCATAGAAATGAGCATAGACAAAAGCTAGGGGTTGGACATGTTTATTGGAAAAGTCTGAAGTATAAAAGCCACCTACAGATCAATAGTTTATCTACAAAAAGAACTCTATCCCTCTTGCCCACAAGCAAGGGAGGCTGGTGCAAATAGGCAACATTGCTGGGAGAGGGCAGGGTCCGCCTTTAACCTCTCCCCCATCCCACAATTTCTCCCGCTTTTTGTACATGCCTCATCAAGAGTCTCTACGTTTCAGAAATGCTACATTCTGGCAATAGAGAACTTCACTTACAACTACATTTCTGAGTCCTTCCCATCTCCATTGGGATACAGGCACAATCAAGAGGGCACCCAATGGAGTACAAAGCTCCACGTAATACGCAGGGAGCATTCATCCAGTGCTCCGCATGCACTGCCAATACAGTTGTGGTATTGGGAAGCACGGGTGGCGAGTGGAAAAGTGGGAAGGTTTCACTCAAGAGCTAAGGTTAGAGGCTGTCCATGGAGGGACTTCATTCTCCATCATGCTCCAGGACTGCCCATTCCGTGTTTCAGTGGGAAGGACTCCAAGGCCTATCGTCATCCCATTCCTAGTCTTGCAGCTTGAAGGTCTGATGTAGCCTCTCAGCCTGGTCCCTCAGCGTCTGGATCTCCTCCTGAATGAAATCCGTCAAGGCTTTGCGCATCTCCATCTGCAAGAAGAAGCAGCTATTGCAAAACATTGTTTCTTTTCATGTCAGGAGTGACTTGAGAAACTTCTGGTGTGAGAGAATCAGCCATCTGCAAGGACATTGCCCAGGGAACGCCCAGGTGTTTTACCATCCTGTGGGAGGCGTCTCACATGGGAAGCTAGAGCTGACAGATGGGAGCTCACCCCACGTGGTACGCAGATTCAAACAGCCAACCTTTCAATCAGCAGTCCTACTGATACAATATAGTATGGACAGAGCTCTGCTTTCTACCTCCAATACACAAAAATATACCAATTAAGATATCAGCCGTGTACACAAATGAACAGAACTAAGGCAGCTTATGAAAAAGTGGGGCGGCCCTGAATACACTTTTTGTATCTTGATTTATTGTTGAGTCACTAAACCAGATTGGTGAACAAAGAACACATGCCTCCAGATAATTTTGAGAGAAGCACCAGGAACAAAAGGCACAAACATAATAATAATAATAATAATAATAATAATAATAATAATAATAATAATAATGTGGAGCCCCCGGTGGCACAGTGGGTTAAACCCCTGTGCTGGCAGGACTGAAGACTGACAAGTCGCAGGTTCAAATCCGGGGAGAGGCGGATGAGCTCCCTCTATCAGCTCCAGCTTCTCATGCGGGGACATGAGAGAAGCCTCCCACAAGGATGATAAAAACACCAAATCCGGGCGTCCCCTGGGCAACGTCCTTGCAGACGGCCAATTCTCTCACACCAGAAGTAACTTGCAGTTTCTCAAGTCGCTCCTGACACAACAAAAAAAAAAGCTTTGTAATAATAATAATAATAATAATAATAATATTTTTGTCGTGTCAGGAGCATCCTGTTGTGAGAGAATTGGCTGTCTGCAAGGACGTTGCCCAGGAGACGCCCGGATGATTTTTTGATGTTTTATCATCCTTGTGGGAGGCTTTTCTCATGTCCCCGCATGAGAAGCTGGAGCTGATAGAGGGAGCTCATCCGCCTCTCCCCGGATTCGAACCTGCAACCTGTCGGTCTTCAGTCCTGCCGGCACAGGGGTTTAACCACTGCACCACCGGGGGCTATAATAATAATAATAATAATAATAATAATAATAATAACCTTTATTTATTCCCCGCCACCATCTCCCCGATGGGAACTCGGAGCGGCTTACATGAGGCCAAGCCTGGACAACAATTTTCCCTTGACTCAGTGGGAAAGTTTAATAGTTATTCATCACGGAAAATGTCTTTTTTCGCTCGAGCTCCACCCAGGAGAAGATGAAAGCTTCAAGTTAGCCCAACTCAAATGGCCCTCCTTCACAGCAGAGTTTCTCAATCATCTCAGTGTCTCCCAATGTACTCACCGCTGACTTGTTCTCTGCCCGAAGCCGCTCCAGCAAAGGCCGGCAACTGAACGGTTTCCCAATTAATACAGTGATTTTCTGTAACAAGAACAAGAAAAACCTGAGGACATTTCTTTATTTTCTATAGTTTCTCAGCTTTCTCCCAGGGTGGAATCTCTTGGCCATTTCCTCCTGCAGTGCCAGTCACGGCACACCCTGCCCATTTAAAAACACTCACCTGTCCAAAACGGGGCACATAAGGGGGTTCATTGGGCAGTACGTCATTCATCCCTAGAGAAAAGGGAAAACCACATTAAATGATCAGTTGGCTTCATAACAATGATCACATGAGGAAGTCAGAGCGTTTCCATGTTGGTAGATAGCACAGAAGTATCTCCAAGCTCTTCACTAATGTGCCTACACCTCAGTCAGAAAAGTGTCACTGGGAAGCATGTACATTAAAGGCCCCTGTATCCATGGAACCCATATCCACGGTTTTATTTACCTACATCCAGAGAAAGAACAGTCTCTCTCTAGGAATGTGCTAGGTTCTCCAAGTGATTCCATGGTATATTTCTTCTTAGTAGTTGCTATGGAGTTCTGTTGCAAATTCCTAGAATAAATACCTTCCTAGGTCTCTCTATGCCAGTGGTTCTCAACCTGGGGTCTCCAGATGTTTTTGGCCTAGAACTCCCAGAAATCCCAGCCAGTTTACCAGCTGTTGGGATTTCTGGGAGTTGAAGGCTAAAAACATCTGGGGACCCTAGGTTGAGGACCACTGCTCTATGTCCTCCAACACAACTCTACAGTATGCTGGAGCTGGAAGGCAGGTAATTTAATGCCATTTGTCCTATCTGTGTTTTCTGTGACCTAGGTAGGATCATATCTCCTGTGAATATGGATGATTCAATGTATAGCATCTAAGGACGAACACTGACACTTAGAATGATAGCTCTACAAACATTATAATATCATTATCACTGGCGTCATGATCCTGTACTCTGAGAATGAAGGCAAGAGGGTCTCATATTGGGATAAGTCAAATAGATAAATAAAGTGAAGAACAATATCAATAATCGATATAAATAAGAATGTAATGTTTGTTTGTGGGATTAACATAACGCAAAAACCACTGCCGCCAAATTTGGCCACAAGACACCTACTAACCCAAGGAGTAATCATCACTCCAAAAATTGATTTGGGAGTTGTATTTGCTGGGATTTATAGTACAATCAAAGAGCATTCTGAACCCCACCAATGATGGAATTGAACCAAACTTGGCACACAGAACTCTCACAACTAACAGAAAATACTGGAAGGGTTTGGTGGGCATTGACCTTGAGTTTGAGAGTTGTAGTTATCTACATCCAAAGAGCATTGTGGACTCAAATAATGATGGATCTGGACCAAACTTGGCACGAATATTCCATATGCCCAAATATGAACACAGATGGAGGTGTTTTTTTTTTGGGGGGGGGGGGAACAGACCTTGACATATGGGAGTTGTAGTTACTGGGATTTATAGTTCACCTACAATCAAAGAGCATTCTGAACCCCACAAACGACAGAATTGGGGCAAACTTCCCACACCAACAGAAAATACTTAAGGCCATCCAGTCCAACTTCTTTCACCAGGACAAGAAAACGTAATCAAAGCACTCCTGACAAAGAGCCATCCAGCCATAGATATAGATAGATAAATATGATTCATACACACACAGAGATATAGTATCATAGATTTGAAAGGGACCCCTAAAGAAGGACAATTCTATGTTGCATGTTCCAGAGTAGGCAAATCAGACAATCTCGACATCAACACTGACAAAGAAAGAGCAAAAATGTATTGTTGAAGGCTTTCATGGCCAGAATCACTGGGTTGTTGTAGGTTTTTTCGGGGTATATGGCCGTGTTCTAGAGGCATTCTCTCCTCACGTTTCATCTGCATCTATGGCAAGCATCCTCAGAGGTAGTGAGGTCTGTTGGAACTAGGACAATGAAATATCTGTGGAATGACCAGGGTAGGACAAAGAACTAGCTCCAACAGACAAGAGTTCTTTGTCCCACCCTGGTCATTCCACAGATATAGTTCCAACAGATCTCACTACCTCTGAGGATGCTTGTCATAGATGCAGGCAAAACGTCAGGAGAGAATGCCTCTAGACCATGGCCATATAGCCCGAAAAAACCTACAACAACCCAAAGAGCAAAAAATACTGTTTACCCACAAGCATAAAGAAATCACATATATTAGAAACCAACACTTTCTAATTACTTCATTCTCCAGATCACCAAACTGGGCCACAGCAACATGTGGCAGGGACAGCTAGTAATAATATAATAATAATAAACTTTATTTATACCCCGCCACTATCTCCCCGAGGGGGACTCGGGTCGGCTAACATGAGGCCTAGACCGAAAATAAAATACAGCAAAATAAAATGCGAACAACAAAAAAACAACAAAAATTACATCACAATAAAATACATACAATAACAAAATAAGAGTAAACAAAGGAAAATAACATAATATAAAATCAAACACAATGGGTGGGCCACATGGACACTTTAAAATGATAAAACCCTGGATGAGGTAGGAGTAGAAAAAGTGCATTTGAGAGGAGCCCAAAAGGATGAACGGTTCGGCTTAGGCTTTCAGTTTAGGACAGGAGAAAGTGCATCATAGGGGCAACACTGTAGGTGGACTGTGTCCTATCCCAAGTGAGAATAAGAAAGTGTCTCAGAACTCTTTCTCACTTCCTGCATTTCAATAATCTCATCAAACCACTTGAAAAACAAATGATGATTTGACAAACACAATGAACAGCTTTACTTGTAGCAACTTCTGCCTGCCTTCCTGCCTTCCTTGAGTGGTTCTCAACCTGTGGGTCTCCAGATGTTTTGGCCTTCAACTCTTAGAAATCCTAACAGCTGGTAAACTGGCTGGGATTTCTGGGAGTTGTAGGCCAAAACACCTGGGGACCCACAGTTGAGAACACTGTTATACATCTTTTTGGTAACTGTCTTGCTTTCAGGCCTACATCAGTCCTGACTCAGGGAAGAGGTCCCTGACAAAAGGAATTTATTTGTCGTGTCAGAGCAACCAGTCAATTATATTACATTTCTAACAGAACAAAGCAAACAAACAGACAAAATACAAAATTGTGAGTTTGGTAGTTGATTAAATGTCCTTTGACCAGTATCTGGCCACTTGGAGTGCTTCTGGTGTTGCTGCAAGAAGGTCCTCCATTGTGCATGTGGCAGGGCTCAGGTTGCATTGCAGCAGGTGGTCTGTAGTTTGCTCTTCTCCACACTCGCATGTCATGGATTCCACTTTGTGGCCCCATTTCTGAAGGTTGGCTCTGCATCTCGTGGTGCCAGAGCGCAGTCTGTTCAGCGCCTTCCATGTCGCCCAGTCCTCTGTGTGCCCAGGAGGGAGTCTCTCATTTGATATCAGCCATTGGTTGAGGTTCTGGGTTTGAGCCTGCCACTTTTGGACTCTCGCTTGCTGAGGTGTTCCAGTGAGTGTCTCTGTAGATCTTAGAAAACTATTTCTAGATTTAAGTCGTTGACGTGCTGGCTGATACCCAAACAGGGGATGAGCTGGAGATGTCTCTGCCTTGGTCCTTTCACTATTGGCTGCTACTTCCCGGCGGATGTCAGGTGGTGCAATACCGGCTAAACAATGTAATTTCTCCAGTGGTGTAGGGCGCAGGCACCCCGCGATAATGCGGCATGTCTCATTAAGAGCCACATCCACTGTTTTAGCGTGGTGAGATGTGTTCCACACTGGGCATGCATACTCAGCAGCAGAGTAGCACAGCGCAAGGGCAGATGTCTTCACTGTATCTGGTTGTGATCCCCAGGTTGTGCCAGTCAGCTTTCGTGTGATATTGTTTGTAGCACCCACTTTTTGCTTGAGGTTCGCTTCACACTGAAAATGACAATTTGACCACCCAATCCCACACAACTGACTTGTTGGCAGCCACAGCTTCTGCAAGCCCATAACCCACAAGACGGCCATTCTCAGTGGAATCCTCAAAATAAAATCATTTGGAATTGTGACACAGAACTTCAGCTACTGATGTGGTATTCTGTACTCCTGCTATTGGTTCATTTTTGTACTTTTAAAAATTCCTACTTAACCAATACTACTTGAAAACGGCTATACATCTTTGTTTATATTTTGTGATATTTTCAAAATGAATCTGATTTTAAAATATTGTAATCCACATCCACCACTTATGGCAATGGCTCGTGTGCCTACTGTTGAATTTTGCTCCTCTCCTGTCCCCTCCCATGATTCAAGTCTCACCTACATGCCAGAGTGGCACTATTATAGGATGGAGGCGGCACTCAGCTAGAAGGCGTCCAACGCCTGGAAGGAAAAAGAGGAAGTGGAATTAGAGAGGACAAGAATGCCCCAGAAGATTCTCCCCTCCTCCTCCTCCTCATCATCATCAAAGAGATACTCACCCCACTTAAAGCGCATGAACTCCTGAGTCATGTTCACTTTGCCTACAAAAAGAAGTTGAGAGAAAAATTAGGAAACTGCAGGATGGCTTTGCCTGTGATATTTTACCAGACGCACATTTACAACTAGCTTTTAAAAAACCTTTGCATCTTTTCCCCAAAATTTTAGGGCCCTTCCACACAGCCCTTTATCCCAGAATATCAAGGCAGAAAATCCCACATTATCTGAGTGTGAATTCAGATAACACAGTTCAAAACAGATATTGTGGGATTTTCTACCTTGATATTCATAGAATCATAGAATCAAAGAGTTGGAAGAGACCTCATGGGCCATCCAGTCCAACCCCCTGCCAAGAAGCAGGAATATTGCATTCAAACCACCCCTGACAGATGGCCATCCAGCCTCTGTTTAAAAGCTTCCAAAGAAGGAGCCTCCACCACACACCGGGCCAGAGAGTTCCACTGCTGAACGGCTCTCACAGTCGGGAAGGGATAAAGGGCTGTATGGAAGGGCCCTGATACTACTTTTAAAATTGTATCATTTTATCACAGCTGTGAGCTGCCTAGAGCTCCACTTTGGAATAAAAGCGGCATAGATAGATAAATAAATAAAGCATGTCTACTTACCTTCTGGGAATACATGCACCCAATCCCCATTGTTGAGCTTTTCAAGTATGTAATCCATGCCTTTCTGGTAGACTCCATCTCCTGCAAAGAAAACAAATGAGAGCTGTTCAGCAGTGGAACTCTCTGCCCCAGAGTGTGGTGGAAGCTTCTTTGGAGACTTTTAAATAGAAGCTGGATGGCCATCTGTCAGGGGTGCTTTGAATGCTATTTTCCTGCTTCTTGGCAGGGGGGGTGGACTGGATGGCCCATGAGGTCTCTTCCGACTCTATGATTCTATGAAATAAGTTACTCACAAGACGGCAAGTTCCTTTCTCCAATTACGTGTTTCTGAGCCAGTGGCAAAGAACTGCCATCATCCTTCATTACAGGTCATTTATTATTATTTATTTATTTCAAACAATTATATTCCTTGTATTGTCGAAGGCTTTCATGGCTGGAATCACTGGGTTGTTGTAGGGAGGAATATTATTGGATTTTTGTAGGTTTTTTCCGGCTATATGGCCATGTTCTAGAGCAGTGGTTCTCAACCTGGGGTCCCCAGATGTTTTTGGCCTATAATTCCCAGAAATCCCAGCTAGTTTAGCAGCTGTTAGGATTTCTGGGAGTTGAAGGCCAAAAACATCTGGGGACCCCAGGTTGAGAACCACTGCTCTAGAGGCATTCTCTCCTGATGTTTCGCCTGTGTCCTGGTCATTCCACAGATATATAAACCTATTTTCCTAATTCCAACAGACCTCACAACCTCTGAGGATGCTTGCCATAGATGCAGGTGAAATGTCAGGAGAGAATGCCTCTAGAACATGGCCATATAGCCCAAACAAACCTACAACAACCCAATTATATTCCTCCCTTCTCACCCCCAAGGGGACTAAGGGGGAGCACAACATATATATGGCAAACCTTCAGTTCCAGAACATAAAATAAACTATAAATATGCATAAACATTACAATAAATTATCTCCACTTTAAAATCAATTGTTTAAAAATTTGTAGATCAGCCATACCGGATCTGGTCAGCAGGGTAAAGTTTCCTATTGTTGCCTTATAGCATTGTCCCAAAGGCTTGGCCCCACTGCCAAGTTTTTACCATCTTTCTAAAGGACAGAAGGGAGGGGACTGATCTTATCTTGCCAGAGAGGTAGTTCCAGAGCCAAGGGGCAATCACTGAGAAAGCTCTCTCTCTGGCCCCCCCAATCGTGCCTATGATGGTGGCGGGACTGAGAACAGGGCCTCCTTGGAATACTTTAATCTCCGCAATGGTTCATAGAGGGAGATGCATTCGGACATGTAAACGGGGTTGGGGTGTTGATGGGATTTGTGGTACCAAATATCTATAACAGGGGCCCTCAAACTAAGGCCCAGGGGCCGAATACAGACCTCCAAGGTAATTTACCCGGCCCTCACTCAGGGTCAACCTAAGTCTGAAATGACTTGAAAGCACACAACAACAACAATCCTATCTCATCAGCCAAAAGCAGGCCCACACTTCCCAATGAAATACCAATAAGTTTATATTTGTTAAAATTGATCTTCATTTTAATTATTGTATTGTTTTTAAGTGTTTTTGCACTACAAATAAGATATGTGCAGTGTGCATAGGAATTCATTGGAGGTCACAGTCCCTCCAATAGTTTGAGGGACTGTGACCTGGCCCTCTGTTTAAAAAGTTTGAGGACCCCGATTTAGAACATGGTTGGCCCTGTCATTCACCAGAGTGAGGTGACTGGTTCAGGCAAGCAAGTCTTCAGCATCACGAAAGGGTCTGTGATTATTTTATTTTCACTGTCAGGAATGAGGAGCATATCCTATGGGGTTTTCTGTCCCAAGTGCCAAAATTAATTTGGGATATGCACTTTTGACTAGGATGAGAGGAAATATGGTGTAGTGGTTTGAATATTGGACTAGGACACAAGGTCACCGAGGCTCAAATCCCTGCTCAGCCAAGGAAACCCACTGGGTGTCCTTGGGCAAATCACATTCTCCCCAGTGGCGCAGTGGGTTAAAGCACTGTACCGGCAGGACTGAAGACCGACAGGTCGCAGGTTCGAATCTGGGGAGAGGCGGATGAGCTCCCTCTATTAGCTCCAGCTCCTCATGCGGGGACATGAGAGAAGACTCCCACAAGGATGATAAAATATCAAAAATAATCCAGGCGTCCCCTGGGCAACGTCCTTGCAGACAGCCAATTCTCTCACACCAGGAGCGGTTGCTCCTGACACGACAAAAAAAAAAAAAAAAAAGCCTCAAAGGAAGGACAAAGTAAAAACCCATCTGAACAAATCCTGCCAAGAAAGTCTTTAGAGTCACCATAAGTCAGAAATGACTAGATGACACAAAATAGTAACAGCCTTGACTGGGGTAGTTGGGGCATGATATTTTAAGATAAGCCTAATCTCGAGGGCCACCCTTCTCCTAAGCACAACTCACACCTTTCCAAATAGTTCCTTCTCATCTGATATATAGAAAAGAACTCATTCAATTTAAGGTGACATTTTTCCTCCAAAAAATAATTATTTATAGCCTCCTATATTTGAAAAAAGCCTAGCTATATTGAGGAATATTTATAAGAATCACATCACTGTGTCATTATTATTCTCATTTGACAGATGGCAGTTCAGAAGATATGGAGAGGGAAATCCATGGTTCTGCAGCTTCCGGAAAGAAAAGAGCTTGATACAGAAGAAAACTACCTCTTAGGTCTGGATTGGGTCTGGGATCCTTGTCTGAACAACTACCTGACTGTACTGCAAGCATCTATTAAGCCATCCATCTATTCACCCACTTACCCCGGCAGACAGGAACACATCGCCCAAGGCTGAAGAAACGAGAATGCAGTTCCTTTGTGAAACAGATGTCTGCAGCTGTGGGGGTCCTGGAATAGGAAAAAGATCAATAACCTATGTTCACAACATGCTAGACTAAACCTTTTCCTTAAAGCGGTGGTTTCCAACCTTTATTTGACCAGGGACCACTCTGACCAGGGACCACTCTTCAACATTAGTACCAAAAGTGTTACGAATCAGTTTTTGGTCAACTTTAGATTCAGGTTATTTATTTATTTATTTATTTATTTACAGTATTTATATACCGCCTTTCTCACCCTTGGGGGGACTCAAAGCAGTTTACACATAAATAATGGCAAGATTCAATGCCTTACGTTGGGCACTGATATGATGCCAATACAAACAATTGCAATAGTAAAACCACAATTAAACATAAATCACAATTAAACCAATACATCAATAAGCATTAAACAATAAAACAGTCTCGTCAGATGAATCGCCGTTCCAGTCAATGTCCCTCTAAAATACCACATACATCTACTGTCCGAAGGCCTGGTCCCAGAACCATGATTTTATTTTATTTTTCCTAAAAGCCAGGAGGGAGGGAGCGGATCTTACCTCATTTGGGAGTGTGTTCCATAGGTGAGGGGCTACAGCCGGGAAGGCCCTGTCTCTCGTTCCCGCCAGATGCATTTGTGCTGTTGACGGGAGTGAGAGCAGGGCCTCCCTGGATGATCTTCGATTATGAGGTGGGACGTTTAGTTATTTGGGATGCTGATTCGGAAAATTGCATTGGGTAGAACACATCAGCTCAAGTTTCTGATACAGATCACATGCAATCCAGTAATCGCCATCTGCTCGCCCACAGAAAACCATATTTAATAAGCCTCAGCACTATAAGAGGGTTTCACGAAACCAGTCACTCTTGTTGTAACGGTGTAGTAACAGTAAGGCTGTGGACCATATTTTAGTCCTTTTGGACCACTGATGGTCCACAGACTACAGGTTGGATACCATTGCCTTAAAGTATTAGAAAACCACTGAAGATCACAGTATATTAGACGGACATTCTTAGGGAAAGCCACAAAAATGGAGTCTATTCTATTCTGTTGGAAAATAACCACTGTTCCTCATGCTTACCAGCGCATTTTCTGCAAGTTCCAGACATGCCTTAATTTCAGGATACCTTTGAGAGAAAAGAACAATTCATATTAATATTTGGGAGCAATCTGAACTAAATCAAGGTCAGTGCAGAAAAAGAAATAATGACAAAATGGTAGTGGTTAGAATGCTAGACTGCTCAAATTTCTACCTGACCATGAAACCCTCTGTGTGATCCTGGGTCAATCATTCACCTTCATTCTGACATATCCACAGGGCTTGTTCCAAAGATAAAAATGAGAATAGAGGTCCAGTATTTCACTTTGAGCTGCTTGGAGGAAAGGCATCTCTTGACCCCATGGGACTAGATTGGTGAATACATGAGACCAAGTTTTCCTTGTCATTCCCTCCCACAGAAAGTCAAGATGGCTCGGTCCCTCTTGATGTTCCAGCAGGTAGCCATTGGTCCTTAAAACTAAGGCAACCTGTGTGAGTGCTTGAAAAAGTGCTTTTTAAAAGCTGGTTTTTACTTGTTTTATCTGTTTTGGACTATTACCTCAACAGCCCTGGCGGACTGAGAAACAATGAACAAATACCTCACTACCTCTGAGGATGCTTGCCATAGATGCAGGTGAAACATCAGGAGAGAATGCCTCTAGAACATGGCCATATAGCCCGAAAAAACCTACAACAAACCAGTGATTCCAGCCATGAAAGCCTTCGACAATACAATGAACAAATATTCATTTTTTTAAAAAGTAGAATTCTGTTACACCTGAGACCGAGACTGTGGCGCAGCTGTCTGTCAGCTAATTACGATCACTTCTGACCAAAAGGTCATGAGTTCGAAGCCAGCCTGGGTTGAAGTGAGCTTCCGACCAATTGTGTAGCTTGTTGTCAACCTTTGCAACCCGAAAGACAGTTGCATCTGTCAAGTAGGAAAATTAGGTACCACCTATGTGTGGGGAGGCTAATTTAACTAATTTATGAGGCCAGACTCCAGCAAAGCATGCGGGGAATGCGGAAGTACTTCATCAGCATCGCAGATGGACGATGAAAGCGACAGCTCCCCGGGTGGCCAGAAAAGTTAAATAGCCTCTGACTGTCTGTCTATATCTGTTGTGTGTCTTTGGCATTGAATGTTTGCCATATATGTGTACATTGTAATCCGCCCTGAGTCCCCTGTGGGGTGAGAAGGGCCGAATATAAATACTGTAAAAACAAACAAACTTTCTAGCCCTTAATCAAGTTTTTGTGCAGAAAGACCTGAGGACACTTTGCTCACTAGATTTCACACCCCAATAAGATCTTTGGCTTATCCTTTCCAAAGGAAGACCCTCACAAGGTCAAGCTTTGCTATCCACCAGGTGGCAGCAGTTCCCTTCTGGTCCCATACCCCAGAGGTGTGGGTCATCCATGCAAGACTGGTGGTTGCAGATCGTGAGGAGGGGGATGCCTGGCTCACGCTTCTCAATTAGGTTGTACAGGGTGTCTTCATTATGGACGTTCAGCTGGTTCATATATTCTAAAGGGAAGAGCGAGAGCAAAATTAAAGCTCTGGAAGTAGCAAAGTACAGGAAAGAAGCAGGAAGCTTTTGAAGTATCTAGGATCCAATTTAGAGGGGAGCAGGAGAACTAGAACCAGTTGTTCCAACATCTGTATGGTTCTACCTACTCAGTCATATTAATACTTAGCAGTCATATACAATAGGCCTTCCACTTTTGCAAGGGTTAGAGACACCCCCACTCAAATGTAAAAATAATATGATTTTTTTTTAAAAAACCCACTTTTTTCCACATTGTGGAAAAATGTGGAACAAAAAACTAAATTACACATATGCACCTAATATAAAAGAAAATTGACTAAAAATGTTTCACCGGTGGTATATTACACCGATAAAATTAAACCAAATTATATAAAAACACATCCAAATTTTGTTGGAAATGTAATTATCATGAAAGGAGCTTCCACCATCTTTGGTGGACTTGTAGGGAAGCCCAGAAATATTGGAGATGGGTTCATGAAGAATGCCAACAAATTTTTAAAAAGAAATTCCCCCAAAAACCCGGAATATTACTTATTAGGAATTACTTAAGAGCACTTTTGGAAATATAACATGGTTACACTATATACAAATTAAAGAATATTTTAAACAAGATAAGAAAATTGGTTTTGACTGGGAGGAAGATACATGGGATAAGGTCTTAAAAATGGGAAAAAAATAGTCACAATACTTTATAACAAATTGTTACAATGGCTAACGGAAACAGAACAGGTGAAAACATGTATGATTAAATGGGCAGAAAATTTAAGAAGGCCCATTCAATTTAGAGAATGGGAACAAATATGGAATAAAAAGTTGAGGTATACATATGCCATGGACTTAAAGGAAAATTGGTATAAAATGTTCTATATATGGTATCTGACTCCTAACAAATTAAGTCATATGTATAAAAATGTTTCAGATAAATGCTGGAAGTGTAGTGAACAATCTGGCACATTTTACCACATGTGGTGGACATGCAAAGAAACATCCAAGTTCTGGTCACTAATACATGAGGAAATACAAAAAATATTGAAAAGAAAGTTCAAGAAGAAGCCGGAGTATTACTTATTAGGTTTTACAGACTCAGACTTAAAACTTGAAGAGAATGAAGATAAACTATTAACATATTTTACTACAGCAGCGAGGATTATTTTTGCCAAACATTGGAAAAACGAACAGATTCCTACTATTGACGAATGGATCGATAAGGTTAAAGAAATAAGGGATATGGATGAATTAACTTTTTTGATGAGAAAAAATACTGGAAAATCGTTAAAGAGGACAGATTGGACCCTTTTCTATGACTATGAAAAGAAATATACAAAAAAGCATTAGAGGATAAGAATATAGAATAAGCTGGCGCAAGAAGTATTGAAAGAAGATCCTGAGGCTGGAGTGGAAGTCATTTTAGAATGATGTGTGTTTTTTGCCTTTTGGGTTTTTTCTTCTTTTTTCTCTTTTGGGCCTTTTTTTGTTTTTTTGGCCCTCTTTTTTTCTTCTTCTTCTTCTCTTGAGGGGTAACGGGGTTTCCTACTTTTCTATTTTCTTTACTATTGTTCTCCCTCTTTCCTTGTGTTGGTGTTTAAAATGTTTAATAAAAATATTTGGAAAAAAAAGGAATTACTGATGGGGATATAAAACTGGACTTGAATGAAGATATTCTGTTCATGTATATGACGACTGCTGCTAGAATAAATTATGCGAAACTCTGGAAGCAGAAGGAAATACTGGAGAAGGACCAATGGATAAAAAAGATAAATGAACATATGGACATATTAACTTACTAAAAAGGAATACAGGAAATCCAGTTAAACAAACAAACTGGGTACATGTGGAAGAATATATAGAAAAGAGAAGTAAAGAAATTTAATTGTGAATAGTATATTAATATGGGTCACAAGAGTGGACAATCAAGAAAAAATCAGGAAGATCATATAGACAATAAAGTTAAACCCATGTAGGATTAGAAGGAAGTCACAAGACTTTATTTTTCATTTTTATTTTTACTTTTATCTTTAATACAATCATATATATATATATATATATATATATATATATATGTCTCCTTTTTGATAACAATGACAATATAATACAATCATACATTTTAATACCACCACCAAGAAGCAGATGGAAGTCAAATCATAGAGACTCTTCAGTGTTGTTTTTTTGGGTTGATTTTTTCAATTTTTTTCATTTTTTCCCCTTTCCTTTGTATTTTTCTCACTCCTGTTTTCTCTCATTTCCTACTTTTCTATCTTCTACGCTATAATCCCCCATTTTCCTTGTAATGATATATTCTTTCAATAAAAATTTAATTGAAAACAAAAAAAAAACACTTTAAAAAAACGGAGGAAACACCTCCACCAGAAACTGCCCACAGAGGCCCCATCTGCCCAGCCATATAAAATACAGATTATCTTAGAACTGGATCATATTAGTCTACACCGTCATATAATCCAGTTCAAAGAAGATAATCTGGATTTTATATGGCAGTGTACATGAGACCAGAGTTCTGCTGAAAAACCTAGCGATTCCTAGAGAGATGTTCACTCTAAGAATCTCCAGGTTTTCCCTAGCCTATTTTCTGCTGACCTGGGAACTAGGATGCAGAACAATGGCTTCAAACTACAGAAAAAGAGATTCCACCTGAATATTACGAAGAACTTCCTGAGAGCTGTTCAGCAGTGGAACTCTCTGCCCCAGAGTGTGGTGGAGGCGCCTTCTTTGGAGGCACCTAATTTGGAGGCTTTTAAACAGAGGCTGGATGGCCATTTGTCAGGGGTGCTTTGAATGTGATTTTCCTGCTTCTTGGCAGGGGGCTGCACTGGATGGCCAAAATGGCCCCTGCCCAAGAAATCCCTTCTAGGGGGCTCTGGCTTCCATTGTAATGCATTGTAATGGGGTTTAGAGGTACTCACTGGTCCAGAAGCAGCTGTAGGTGCCCACCAGTCCCATGATCAGCCTGCTCGCCAAGGTCCAGGGCAGGTATGGGGCCTGGGGAAAGGGCCATTTCACCTCAAGGGGCATTTTCCCATCACAGGCGGTCCTCTCGTGGCTCTAGCACCAGCTGTTCCTGTCAAAGAAGACACAGCGCAGTGCTTTTCAACCTGCCACTTTGATGACGACTCATGGCTCAAGTCAGTTCTCTTGGGCCAAATACCTCCCACTGCTGAGAAATCTCTGTTCTGACTTGCAGGTGGCATCACACTCCCTCAGACTCACCTGTGCCTGAGGGCACCACGACATAAAGAAAGGGGAAGAAACGCTGCCCTACATTTATTTTATGAACATTATCTCACACCACATAGGGTCAGAACCAGACAGCCAAAGACCCCGGGCTGTCTTTTTTATCCCCCATCAAACACCAATTTCCCTCTTTTGATTAATTCATTAGCAGCACGATGTAGAAATATACCATGATGGGAAAGAGAAGGTGGCTGAAAAATAATTGCATAAACATATAGATTGGCCAATGATATGACACACGCTATGTGGCATATAGAAACTGCAGATAATTCCACCCACAACACAAAAAGACCTATTACCAAAGCACATCAGTCGCATTGATCCACCCATGTTGCTAGAAAGAACACTGAATGAGTCAAAGGATGGCCAATACCATGGTTAGGCAACCAAGGATTGTGCTAAAGGAATTAATGAAACATAAGAGTAAATGAACATTTGGGGTTGGTAAAATTTGGTGGACTCACTAAGCCAGTGTTTCTCAACCTGGGGGTCGCAGGGGGGTGTCAGAGGAGTCACCAAAGACCACCAGAAAACACAGTATTTTCTGTTGGTCATGGAGGTTCTGTGTGGGAAGTTTGGCCCAATCCAATCATTGGCAGGGTTCAGAATGCTCTTTGATTGTAGGTGAACTATAAATCCCAGCAACTACAAATCCCAAATGTCAAGGTTTTTTCCCCAAACCCCACTAGTATTTACATTTGGGTATATTGAGAATTTGTGCCAAGTTTGGTCCAGATTCATCATTATTTGAGTCCACAGTGCTCTCTGGATGTAGGTGAACTACAACTCCCAAAACTCAAGGTCAATGCACACCAAGCCCTTCCAGTATTTTCTCTTGGTCATGGGAGTTCTGTGTGCCAAGTATGATTCAATTCCATCGTTGGTGGAGTTCAGAATGCTCTTTGATCGTAGATGAACTATAAATCCCAGCAACTACAGGACAAAATCAACTGACAAAATGACAGTTATGAAGTAGCAATGAAACTAATTTTATGGTTGGGGTCACCATAACATGAGGAAGCGTATTAAGGGGTCGTGGCACTAGGAAGTTTGAGATCCACTGCACTAAGCTATTCCCTTACCCTCAAAGTCATCACTGATATATTTGTTCTTCTTTAGATTCACTTTGTAACAGCATGAAGTAATTTTGGGCTTGGTCTCATGTTAGCTGCCCCGAGTCCCCTCTAATAAAGTTTATTATTATTATTATTATTATTATCATTATTATTAACAATCTGGCAAAATGGCACTATCTGAAAGAATCCCACACCTTGTGTGACTGTGGAGCAGAACAGACAACTCTGCATCTGTATGCTTGTCCACTATGCCCTGCCTCATGTACAGAGGAAGAATTGTTGGAGGCTACAGACAATGCCATTGCTGTTGCCCATTTTTGGTCAAAAGATATTTAGCCTTGTGTGCTCCTTCTATTTTTATCAGTTTTATACTAATTTATGCAATGTTTTTGATATGAAATAAATAAACATCATCAAAATGCAAAAATAATCATCAGTTGGGGGGCCTCCCCCACCCCCCCCCACCCCCACCCCCGGCACCAACTGGTGCTCTCACCAGAGTGAAGAGAAAGGTGGGTACAGTTGAAGACAGTTCAATCTTGTCTCCTGTGCTTTACTAATATACGAGGAGTATTTTTTAAGTAAGGTCCATTTTGTTGTAGACACTAGTAGTTCGCGCACATACCGCAACGAGCACGTGCGTTGTGTACCGGCATGCCTCGGGAACAACTGTGCTCAGTTTCCGCTCTGTAGCTAACCTGTACGATTGTGTTCTGTGCTTTAAAAATGTTTAAGACTATCAACTCACCCTCTGCATGTGAGGTTCGCTCAGTGATATGGTTTTTGTCAGCAAGGAACCTGATTTGTGAAGTGTACGGTGATACTGTTATGAGTGAAAGCAAAGTGCGTAAGTGGGTACGACAATTCAAAGATGGCCGTGATGAGGACCGCTCCGGTCGCCCTTCTTTGGTTACAGTGAACTCTTGGTTATCGGAGCAGACGGCAAGTTTTTATGAAGAGGGTATTTTAAAATTGGTTCAGAGGTATGATAAGTGTTTGAACAAACTTGGCAACTATGTCGAAAAATAGAGTGAAGTATGTACTTTCTGAAAATAAATTTACTTTTTTGAAATAAACTTTCATTGTGTACTTATGTTCAAACGGACCTTACTTAAAAAATACCCCTCGTGTGTGTGTGTGTGTATAATATTATAATGTAATACAATATAATACTACAATATTAAAATTTTATATTTTATATTACATGTAATATTACTAATAATATTACAATATAATGGTGTAGTACAACATATTAATATATAATAACTGATATTGTACTATGCTAATAATTTAAGATACTGTATGTATATATATCTTATAAGCTGCTCTGAGTCCCCTTCGGGGTGAGAAGGGCGGCACATAATTGTCGTAAATAAATAAATACTGGTTCTCAGGTATTTGGGGATGATACATGTGTATGTATGTGCATTAAATTCATCTTACAGCTACCCAGTGAATATCCCAGGATTTTTAAAGACAGGGAACACTCAAAGATGATTTGCTATGACATTCCTTTGAAATATATCCTTGTTAAAATAATTTCTGATTTATGGCAATCCAAAGATAAACATCACGGAATTTTCTTGGAAAGATTTGTTCACAGGGAGGTTATAATATAATTATTATATTATATTATATTATATTATTATATTATTAATATTATTTGGTTATATAAATTTATCTCTCTCTGAGAATATGTCACTTTTCCAAGGTCACCTAGTGGATTTCCATGGCTGAACAGGGATTTGAATCACCATCTCCAGAGTCATAATCCAGCACTCAAACCACTACATCATGCTATCTTTCAAGTGAAATATAGATTGTTGTTGTTGTTCATTCAGTCGCTTCTGACTCTTTGTGACCTCCTGGACCAACTCACGCCAGAGCTCCCTGTTGGCCGTCACCACCCACAGCTCTTTCAGAGTCAAGCCAGTCACTTCAAGGATACCATCCATCCATCTTGCCCTTGGTTGGCCCCTCTTTCTTTTTCCTTCCATTTTCCCCAGGATCATTGTCTTCTCTAGGCTTTGCTGTCTCCTCATGATGTGGCCAAAGTACTTCAACTTTGTCTCTAGTATCCTTCCCTCCAATGAGCAGGGCTTTATTTCCTGGAGGATGGACTGGTTGGATCTTCTCGCAGTCCAAGGCACTCTCAGCACTTTCCTCCAATACCACAGTTCAAAAGCATCGATCTTCCTTCGCTCAGCCTTCCCTAAGGTCCAGCTCTCACATCCGTAGGTGACTACAGGGAATACCATGGCTTTGACTATGCGGATCTTTGTCGCCAGTCTGATGTCTCTACTCTTTACTATTTTATCGAGACTGGACATTGCTCTCCTCCCAAGAAGAAATATAGATTACAGCCCCAATATTCCTTGACAGTCCTTCATCCATGTACTAACCAAGTTGTTTCTGCTTCGCTTACAAGACTGGATAGGATCTGGTGTCTTTAGGCCTTTTTATTTTATTTTTATTTATTTAGAAGTTTTATATACCGGTCTTCTCACCTCCGAGGAGGGACTCAGGCCGGTTCACAACATGTGTTCATATACAGTAATATACAAAACAGCACAATGCATCATCATTATACATTAAAATATAAGTACAACATAGTACAATAAAAACATCATCATCACATTTTGGGATGGAAACAGATCCTTGCGGTCTCTCCCTTCCTGCCCCATCCAACATCTCACCTGAACATCAATGGATCCCTGACCTTGTAGATAAAGACCAAGCAATAAATTGACATCTGCCAAAATAATGCTACACCATGATAGGTTCCCTCTTCCACATAGAACAAGTAGGCAAATCTTTAAAGGAGCAAAGGAAAAGCTAAGTAGCAGCTTGCTCAGAAAGGATTATTAAAGGCCAAACGCAGTGCCTACAGCTGACCACAGCATAGTACATTCAGTTCTAGGAGACTGTTGGAGGTAGTTGGAGGAGAACAGAAATTCAGAGTCAACTGCTTCTCTGCACAAAAGATTTATCTGAGGATTGAAGCTGGACGTTTTCCAACAGTGCCATTTAAAGTGCTCATTCTCCATGCCAAGCCACCCTGGGAGTGAGGAGACAACAGGAACATGCTGTGACCACAGGGTTTAGTACACTACCAACCCCAGGCCCATAGGTACCCGCAATACCCACCTGTCGTTCTGCTGCTTGTTGCTTTGCTTGGTACTTTTAACAACCAAGCAAGTCTGTATTTCTAGCTAATCCTGAAATGCCACCCCATTCTATAAAAAGGTGTCCTTGTGTTCAGCAGGTCAATACTTCCACCCTCTTTGCAGACTCATGTAACATTCCCAGCATTCCTTTCCCAGATTCCTATTGTGCCCCGCCATACACAAGGAAGGAGAGTGAGCAAATAGGACCCAGATAAGAATCAGTTCCACCTTCCTTTCTGTAGTTACAGCAAGGTTAAAAAGAAACATACAGGCTTAAAGCTGGCACCCAGCCCTACTGGCCTCCATGTACAGTGGGCCCTCTACATTTATGGTTTTGACTTTTGCATATTTGATAATTCACTCATTTGATTTTAATTTTTTTTTATTTCTATCAATCTCTAAATCCTCCAGTGTGATTCTATGATCAACGTCCTCCAATCATGCCAGAGGACCTAGAGATTTCTAGAGAGCACTGTTTCGTAAACTGTGGATCCTGGTTCAATGTTGGGGTGACGAAAAATTTAGCAACAGTAAAAGGTTTCTGAATGCTACCCATTTACACGAATCTGTTAGCAACAATGTAC